TTGCTGATATTTTCACACCCTTGGGTTGACTCTTGGAGGGGAGAAAGTCCTCCATTAGAAATGGGTGAAGGGTAGTTTTGGTATTAGTGTTAGTAGAGAGAGAGAGAGAGAGAGAGAGAGAGAGAGAGGCTTCCTGATATTGCTGATGCTTTCACACCCATGGGTTGGCTCTTGGAGGCGGGATCCTCGATTAGAATTGGGTGAAGGGTAGTTTTGGTATTAGTGTTAATAGAGAGAGAGAGGCTTCCTGATACTGCTGATGTTTTGAGAACCTTGGGTTGGCTTTTGGAGGGAGAAATCCTCCATTACAATTGTGCTGTTGTGTTGTTAGGTTGAATGGCACTGTGTTTTGTATGGGTCACGACCTCATGTATTTATAGATGTCTACAATGAAGATTACATTCTAAATCATAGATTTGGTTTGCAAACCATGAAATCATAGATTTGATAATAAACCAGTAAATCATAGATTTAGTAACAAACTAGTAAATCACTGAATTATCTTACTATATCTATTCTACGTTTAACAAGGTGAAGGGTAGTTTTGGTATTAGTGGTAGTAGAGAGAGAGAGGAGTGGCTTCCTCATATTGCTGATGTCTTCACCCCCTTGGGTTGGCTCTTGGAGGGGAGAAAGTCCTCCATTAGAAATGGGACAAGGGTAGTTTTGGTATTAGTGTTAGTAGAGAGAGAGAGAGAGAGAGAGTAGCTTCCTGATATTGCTGATGTCTTCACGCCCTTGGGTTGGCTCTTGGAAGGGAGAAAGTCCTCCATTAGAAGTGGGTGAAGGGTAGTTTTGGTATTTTGTGTTAGTGGGGAGAGAGAGAGAGAGAGAGAGAGAGTTGAACAAAGTCAACTAAAAAAAACCCAAAGATGGTAAAAACAATTTGAAGTCAACTGATCACAGACAGAGTGGAGTGGTGGATGGATTTGAATTTTTTTTAGTGGTGGAGGGATTTGGAAATTGTGTTGTTTAATTTACTATATCTTATTCATCCAAGCAACAAAGACATCGTTAAAAATAGAGCATTTGCAAGGATGGTGCGCTCTTCTTGTTGGGGCCATAGTGATGAACTCATTGAAAGTATAAGCATGTGTTTGTTGACTTTGATCATATTTCTAGGAATGTCGTTAGAGAGATAGCCATTCTATGATAGAGGACGTTTTTACATTTTGTTGTTCCATGTTCGGGTTGGATCATTTAGCATGCTAGTTCGTTGTGTAGTTATGTCGAACTCGCGAGAGGAATAATGACCTTTACGAAGAGATTTGGATTTGATTCGTCGTTACACCACAAAGATTTCCATAAGTAACTTATTCTTTAAACTTCGAACGTTCTCACTATGTCGTCTTTTTTGAGTGGTAATATTTTTTGTTTTCTAATAGCTAACCTAACAATTCTGGACATGTTTGAGAGTGATTTTAGAACTAACAAAATTAGTGATTTTGACAAACATCTCTTCAATGTTAACGTTCATAACACAAACACTATTATTAACTTTCACTCTGTCAATCTAATCCTAGACTGTATTGTCTAAATGACGGAGATTGAAAGATGCTTACGAGCTGACTAGCCGTTCAACGAAGATATGCTTCGTTCGTCAATTCATCATTATCATTCCTGAAGCTCCTTTATTTTTGTTCAACAAATGCCATTATCATAAAAGATAACTGTTCTGAATTCTATCTGCAGCTTGTTCATCTGTGATCAGGCAAGACTCTTTAGACTTCCCATTCCTCCTCCCCAATGGCACGTACGATTACACAGCGAACAACTGCGTATTGTGCGAGTGTGAGGCTGCAAAAAACATGATGTAAGTGGTGCCAATACCGAATAACTTATTATATTGAGAATTTGTTTGCTCTAAGTTGAAGGTAGCTCGAGTTAGTGAGCTTACCTTTTGTTTGGAACACAACCCTCCACATTAGTATGATACTGTCCACTTTGAGCATAAGCTCTCGTGGCAGAGATGTATTCCTTATTTATAAACTCATGATGATCTTCCTCTAAATTAGCCAATGTGAGGCTTCCTCCGAACAATCCTGAATGCGTTTTTCTGGTTTTCTTTTTTGTCAGTCTTGACTGTAAGCCGTCACAGCTGAAGCCACCCTCACAGAAATCATCAAATTGGTCGACATGCCCAGCCATGCCATGTGAAGGTAGCAATTTGCTCCTTGGTAACTCAACAGCTTCTGGTTGCAGCACCACTACATGTGCCTATGCTGGTTTCTCTAAACAAACCATCTTCACAAATATTTCCACTCTGAACACTTGCCCTGGACCTGAAGGTGGACCTCAAGGTGAGCTGCATACTTAAGTCGTTTAAAAATACAAGGACCAAAACGATATTTTAACTACTTTTACTACTTTTATTATGGATGTCTGAGAGCAACATGAAAGCACCATTAAAAATGTCAAAAGAACACTACATGTGGTTTGTTTTTTAAATAGCTTAGAAGCATTGTTATGTGTTTTGTGAGAAAACACTAGTAGAGTGCTTTTAGTCTTGGCTGAGAAGCACTTTTGATCCCATGTTGGTAGGAGAGTAGAACAAAACATTCATTATAAGGGTATAGAAACCTCTTCCTAGCAGATGCGTTTTAAAACCGTGAGGTTGACGGTGATACGTAACGAATCAAAGCGAACAATATCTGCTAGCCGTGGGTTTGGACTGTTACAAATGGTATCAGAGTCAGTCACCGGATGGTGTGGTAGCAACACGTTCGTTGGGCCTCTAAGGGGAGTGGATTGTGAGATCCCACGTTGGTTGGAGAGGAGAATAAAACATTCATTATAAGGGTGTGGAAACCTCTCCCTAGCAACACGTTTTAAAATTTTGAGACTGACAGTGATACATAATGAGCCAAAGCGAACAATATTTGCTAGCGGTGGGCTTGAGTGGTTAGACATCACCCCCTAAACACATATTTTAGGCTGCTCATATGATAACTGATAACTCTATAGAAAACCAAGCCCCTTGCCCCACAATTCTTTGTTTAAACACCTCCTTCACTATAATCATCATCCAGAATCTGACTGTTTCCTAACATGTATGAGCAGATAATCCAAACAGCGCTTCAAGGACGGGTTCACAAGGTCTGAATTTGGTCGGTCTCATCGTCTTTATGCATCTGCTGAGCTTTGGTTCCCTTCTCATTCAGTAAGAAGTATAATTTCCTTCTTGTATGTTGGCATAGAGAGATAATCATAATAATGTAGGTAGATTCTTGGTGTTCTGTATTTATCATAAAATAGCCATCTTTTAGTTTCCTTTTTTTTTTCTCGTTAAGCGTTAATAAATCGAGTTGAAATAAGGCTGTTCATGGCGAGAAATCATGAGGATGAACTGGATTAGAATCCATAGTTGGCTGTGAATTTGATTATGATTTTGATTTTGATCTGTAATGTGTTGATGAATGTATTGTATTGTGCACTGAGATTGTTGCAGGAATAAGAACGATGATTTTCCCTTGTTTTCATACCTTAGCTTCTGATACAATGACTGAACAATTCCTACTGCTTGCTTGAATTTATAAGGTGAGGTTGAAAGTATCAGTGAACTTGATACCTGATTCGAAAACGTTCGAGGCTTGGCTGCTCGATTTCGATCAAAGTTCCTTTATGCACGTTAGATGATCCTTCAAGTTCTCTTTTTGGGGTTGTGTTGTTTTGTAGCATGAGTTTACTAGTTTTGTGTAATCTCGAGTTTTAGCAAAGTTTCACATTGGTTAGGGAAGGGAGTGTTCATGAGTACATAAATCAGGACAGTTTTCTTCGTTGGTACGAGATTTTTTTAGAGAAATCAAAAGAAAGATCCTCTTGATGGTCTTATCCCCCTCTCGAGCATAGGTCTAATAGACCTTGTTCCGCTCGTAGATGTACTTAAACTTGGCGATGTCGAGATGGTTGAGTCATACAAACCCTTGGCAAGAGTAAGAGTAGCAAATGCAGTGGCAACTTCTGTTCTAGATGCAACCACATGTTCGATAGAAGTTGGCTTAGGTTGGGATGTTCTTGAGGTTAGGGCCTCAAAGTTTGAACCATCAACTAACTCTACGACCTCAAGGTTGCCTCGAGCTAACTTGAAACTCATCGGCTCAACTTATACGACCCCGAGGGTTGTTTTATAGTATGATTGTAAAGGCTTCTTGGATCTCGTAGAATCTGTAGTATGAAAATTTCATTTCGTTTTCAACCAATAATTTTACAAATGAATATTGCTTCCTTCAAAAATTTTAACGGACCATTCACTTAAAATCTAAAAATCTTACATTTTAAAATTCTACATTTCATAAAATTTAAAATATCTAATAAATTTCTAAACTTTAAATTTCGTATTTAATAATTTTTTTTTTTTTTTTTGTTATATCTAACATTTCATAAACCTTTCCAATTTATTAAATGTAAAATAAAATATTTGGAGTCTTATTATAAACAAAATTGTCTTAATATTATAAAAATTAATTAAATATTTTTAAATTTGAGAAGTTTCAAATTTAAATTATAATTTAACAAAATTTTATTAATAAATTTTTTTTATATAATATCGTAACAAAAAAAAAAAATATATATATATATATATATTTTTTTAAGGGAATTTTCGGACTATAAAAAAAAAGGAACTTTAATCTTGATGGCTCCGTTCGGTGCGAATATTTTTTTAATACGTTCGACATACTTTGGAGCTTTCCTTTCACTTCTCTTCCCATTTGACACGATTTTTCTTATTCCTCTGTGCCTTCGCGCTTCCCTTCCAGATTGAAATTCAGTGTTCGTTTTCGTCATCTTCCTTGGAATTCTCCTCCCGAAACCCTAACTCGATTTGGGCTATCGGCAAGGCAAGTGTTTCTGTACTCCCAACACCATATATTTGATCTGTTGGCTTTCTGGATATTCATGCTTTGTTAATTCTTGTTTCTGAATCATTTCCTTCTCATTTCTGTTGGGTACTTGTCTTAATCTTCATTGATCCTGTTTTCATGTTGTGGGTTTACTTTTTTTTTTGTTTTTGTTTTATGTTTTGCAGTTCTTGCTCTGTTTTTCTTGATTCGAATTCTATTTGCCTCTGGATTTTACTAGGTTCGTTGTGGGGTAGATTATGAAAATGGGATGAACATCAAGAGTTATTATTATTATTTTTTAATCTCTGTTTGTTTGTTCATAAATTCTACGTTCAAGCGTTTTCTTATTGCTTACGTTTACCATTTACGCGCGAATTTGCAGACCTTAAATTGGAAATGGCTTGTGAAGTCAGTGACGGGACAGTTTCGAGTGGTTTGGCTAGAATAGTAGGGAAACAGCAAGTAATTCCTGACAAGACATTGTCATTTTTAAAATTGAAGTGTAGGGATGTTCGAGTTACTTCTCAAATTAGTAGGAAGGTTTTACAGAATCGAAATGGAGTTGGAAATTGGCATTTATCCGCCAGTTTTCGACACAATTATCTGTTTACTTCACCTGTTGTACACCGAAGAAATTCCGGTTTTATCGTGGCTAGGAATCAGTTGAGCTCAGATTATGGGGTGGATTCCTCCGGAGTGGAGGAAAGTTTGTATGTAGAAGAAGATGATGCCAGTTCAAGGGATCAGAATGGTGCAGTGTAAGAATTCAAGATACCTCCATCTTAGCTGAATTATCATAGATTGTTCTTTAGCATTCCTTTTTCGGTTGCTTTAGAAAGTATCTTATGGAATTTGACAGGTTGTTTAAATGGTTGACTTTTCTTACTTCCAAGCAGGCAGTGGAAAGAACCTTCCCAATATCAGCAACAGCCTCTGAATGTTAAGCGTGAGCTTTTAGCTCTATGTGTGCCTGCAATCGCTGGACAAGCTATCGAACCATTTGCACAGCTTATGGAGACTGCTTATATTGGAAGATTAGGCATGTATCTTCAAATGGCCAATATTCTTTACTTTTAGTTTCCATGTTATAGAACAACTCCCTGATTCTTTTGTTTCACCATTACCCTGTCCTAATTGATTCTTTTCAGTAGATATATATATATATATATATCAGTCAAATTGTGCTTAAGTTAGTCTTCTTATTTTGTTCATTTATTTTCTGTGTTTCATTTGGTTTGATTTTTTCTTTGATTTCAATACTGTGAATAACTGTGACCCAAACTTAGCTTGAAGTGGACTGCATATTTTTGGGTTGTGGAGTTGTACATTTGTATGGACAACCTTAGTATGAAGTGGCTAAGTTATTTAAATTTATTTTCTGTAGAGATCCTTTATTTGAAAACCTTGATTCATGTTCATGTGTGTTTTCGGATGACTTTCTGATGTCTTCTTTTGCATCAATTAAGCTGTTAGACTATGAATTTAATGGGAATTCTTGGATGCTAACATCCTTCTGTAATCAGTTGGGACGGTCCCTGTTTATTGGGTGTAAGTCGTATTAATCTTTTTCCCGCACTTCTTCCTGTCAGCAGCTGAAGTGAGTAAATGCTATTTCTTCATACTTGTCCATTTTCAACATAAGTGCAGGTGCCTTGGAGTTGGCTTCAGCAGGCATTTCTATGAACATATTTAACTATATATCAAAGGTTTTTAATATACCTCTACTGAGTGTAGCTACTTCTTTTGTTGCTGAGGATATTTCAAAGAATGCAATTGAAGATCCTTCATCAGGTTCTTCTTTTGGCCTTTGGATTGTACAAATTTTTGTCTTAAAAGGCTGTACTGATGGAAAAACTAGTTGCTTTCAAACTTATATTTTGAATTTTTCATGCAAGTAGATTCCTTAGAAGGCTGTACAGATGAGAAACTAGTTGCGCGGTTATCTGAGAGAAAGCAGCTATCTTCAGTTTCTACTGCCCTATTGTTGGCAGTCGGGATTGGACTTATTGAGGCTTTAGCGTTGTATTTTGGATCTGGAGTGTTTCTTAACATCATGGGTATTTCATCAGTAAGTAAAATTGGAAGCCAGCTGATTTACATTTACGTTTACGTTTCCGTATGCTCACTTATGTTATAGACATATTGTTGGAGATGATTAGATAGGGTAAATTTATTAAGATTCTTTATCTCTATGATCTTATGAATATGTTGGTTTGTTTTGTTAACAGGAGTCGTCCTTGCGCATTCCATCCCAACAATTTCTTACACTTCGTGCCCTTGGTGCTCCTGCTGTCGTTCTTTATTTAACCCTTCAAGGAGTTTTTCGGGGTTTCAAGGAGACCAAAACTCCTGTTCTTTGTCTAGGCACGCATCTAGTCATGAAACCTAGAATTATGTTAATGGTGGAATTTATTTCTAAGCATTTTCTCTTTTATGTTCTTTCTTTGTACTACATCTTCCTGCTTAAATTTTTGTTCTTGATTCACAGGAATTGGAAATTTGCTAGCTGTCTGTCTTTTTCCCTTGTTAATTTATTATTTTCAATTGGGTGCAACTGGAGCAGCAATTTCTACCGTTGTGTCTCAGTATGTTCCCTTCTAATAACTCTTCTTCCTGTATTCTTTATCATAGCCTCCAAACTTATCCAGTGTTTGTTTCAGATATGTTATTGCCTTTTTGATGTTATGGTTTCTCAATAAACGAGCTGTACTATTGCCGCCGAAGTTCGGTGCATTGCAATTTGGTGTATACATGAAATCTGGTAATCTCAGATTCTCATCTTCTTTTACTTCATATCTTGTAAAAATTTGATTATTACTAGTGTTATATGTTCCTGGGAGTAATCTTTTCATTATGGTTTAGTCACAAAGCAATGGCCAGCAATGGCTTCAGTTTGCTCATCTTCACTAATAACAGCACTGTTTAGAAGAGAGGTCTGTTGCAAACTTCTGAGAAGGATTAAAAAAAAAAAAGCTATCGAACACGAGATTTCTGTCGACAATATCAATAGTCGTCACTTTATAGTCATTGGTATTAAGCCAAACTCTGAAACCATAGACTTAAAAGCCACTGATTAAACTTTGGTTATATCTTATATGCATGATGGAGGAATCATTTGAATTTTCTGTATATTCTAGAATTATTCATGTCTCGTAAACTTCAAAATAGTCGTACATATCACATTAATCAAAATCAATGAAAGCTGGAACCTATGCAATTAGATCAATGCTATATTTATGGTTTTTCTGTCTACGTTATATGATCAAGATCTCTTACTTTTTATAATATAATGATTTGGAGTCTGCTATTAGGTGGTTTTCTTCTTGGAAGAACTCTTTCTGTTTTAACTACTATGACGTTGGGTACATCCATGGCTGCACGTCAAGGTGCGGTGGCTGTGGCTGCACACCAAATATGTATGCAAGTATGGTTAGCAGTGTCTCTTCTAACTGATGCCCTTAGTGCTTCAAGTCAGGTACGTACTTCTTCTTTTTCCGTTTTAGCTCATTCTCTTTATAAGAAATCCTAATACTAAGAACATCTATTTAACTATCATGGGTTGGCCTTGTGGTCAAGGGCCATGTAAATAACAAAGGACATATCATGGTGACAGCGATTAAGGATTTAATATCCTACGAGTTACCTTGGCAACCAAATGTAGTAGGATTAGTCAGTCCTGTGAAAATAGTCGAGGTGTGTGCAATCTAGCACAGACACTCACGGATATAAAAAAAGTACATTTATTTGTCTCGTCCTTCATTATTTATACCCTTATCATATTTTATTAGAAAATCCATTGTATTGTTAAGAGCATGCAAAACTAAGCAAGCATTCTTTTGAGCTGAGAATGAAATGCAAGGTTAAAACCTTCTGAAATTCTATCTTAAGTACAAAGCTACAGTACAAAATTGGTTACTGAAGTAATGAAGTTCCAATTTATTTATGGTTTCGTCCTATCTCCTAATCGTGATGTTAGACCTTGAGGTTTCTAACGATGATGTCTTTATTTGTTTTCTCTCTGATCTTCGAATTATCTATCTTGGTAGGCTATGATTGCTAGCTCCGTATCGAAAGGTGATTACAAGACTGCAAAGGAAGTGACAAGCCTATCCTTGAAGGTAGAATTTTTATGTGCAGATTTGAATTTCTACACTTTCCTGTCTTCACTCTTAATTAGTACGATGAGAAGTTTTTGAGCTATATATAACCCGTGAAATATACATCGAGCTTCATATGAATTTGTCTATACCGTACAGATAGGATTGCTCGCAGGTACCATATTATTTGCAATTCTTGGGCTATCCTTCGGTTCGCTTGCTACCTTGTTCACCAAGGATTCGGATGTTTTAGGAATTGTTAGAACTGGAGTCTTGGTAAGCTAAGTGAAATTATTATTAATTTCTCAAGTGTTTCTGTGATAAATTGTGAACCCTCCTACTTTTTGGTTTCATGAAACTTCTACAGTTTGTTAGTGCCACTCAACCTTTGAATTCTCTGGCATTTGTCTTTGATGGTCTGCATTATGGTGTCTCAGACTTCTCATATGCTGCGTACTCAATGGTAAGCAGTTTCTTTAATTGAAATCATGACTGAAAATTCATTCTCTAGCAGATATGATCTTGATTGATATTGTTAATGAACTGTAGATGGTGGTCGGGGCTATCTCTTCTTCCGTTTTGGTGTATGCTTCTTCTGTTTTGGGTCTTCGTGGGTTGTGGTTGGGCTTGTCCCTCTTTATGGGCCTACGTGCTGCTGCTGGTTTTTTCAGGTAGAGTCTCACACTTTTTGCTTTCATTCTCTCAACTGAATGATTTTTAGAGCGACATAGCCCGTAAAGGGCTCGGGCGAAACGTGTTATAATATTATGAATGAGATAATGTAGAATTTGCCTGAAGATTGTTAGAGAAGTGATGCCTTTTGAATGATGTTTCTTAATTTCCTTATTGAAAACTCCCTGTTTGGCATCTTCGGCACACTATTAGAAACCCATCGTAGATGGTTTAGCCACGCCTAGTGCCACGAAATGATTGAGAACTAAGACTAATTTAGCTTCATATTTAGCTGGGAAGTATGTTTCTTTGTCTGGTGGGTAGTTTTTGGATAGCTATTAGAAACCCACTGTAGATGGTTCAGCCACGCCGGGTGCCACGAAATTATTGAGAACTACGATTAATTTACCTTCATATTTAGCTCGAAAGTATGTTTCTTTGTCTGGTGGGTACTTTTCAGCTGGGAATCTGCTTCTCCAATGATTCTCTGCATAGCTTATAACTTCCATTTATTGTTGGATTATGCAGATTACTTTCCAAGAACGGTCCATGGTGGTTCCTGCACAGTGATCTCCAGAATACCAAGGTTCAAACATCCCCATAGCTCTCTTCTTACAATTTCAGAGTTCTTAATGTTCATCTGTTTAGACTCTTTTCTAATTCTATAGCCTTATAAGTTGTAGTTCCCACAATTTTTTCCATCAATAAAATGAGTCCTTTCATTAAGAACAGATTGAAATCGGAACTTGATTACAACTTTTCATCTCCAATATATTCCTGGTAGGAAGAGATTTAGAGGTTAAACTTGTAATTTAACCAAATTCAACTCCATTCATGTTGTTAAACGATGATCCAGTGCCAAACCCACTTACGCTATGATACACCCACGAGTTAGCCATCGAGTTAGTAATTGTGATGTCCCACATTGGTTGGGGAGGAGAACAAACTACCATTTATAAGGGTGTGGAAACCTTCCCCTAGCAATAGAGCATTTTAAAGCCTTGAGGGGAAGCCCAAAGAGGACAATATCTGCTAGCGGTAGATCTGGGTCGTTACAAATGGTATCAGAGCCAAACACCGGATGATGTGCCAGCCTTCTCGCTGTTCCTTGAAGGGGGGTGGAGGGGGGTGGATTGTGATGTCCCACATTGGTCGAGAGGAGAACAAACCATCATTTATAAGAGTGTGGAAACCTTCTCTTAGCAGATGCATTTTAAAGCCTTGAGGGAAAGCCCAAAGAGGATAATATCTGCTAGCGATGGATCTGGGTCGTTACAGTAATATAGATAGAGAGTAACGTGTGAGTGTCATTCTTATAGGGTGGTTTAGAAATCGTACAATCTTATTGTAATACTCGTAGCATGTTAAGTATGATAAATGGTTACAAAGTTGGATAGTTGCTCAATCGAACTGTTTCTCAAATGGATCTTTGACCGACTTAACATTTTCATCCATTAGTTAGCTTGTGGAACCGTTTCTTGGAGGACGGTCTCGGGTGACACCATCGATCTCAAGTGTCGACCTCAACTTCGGTTATACAACACTATTGATTAAAAAGTATTCCATAGTTGTCAGTAAAATGAAAACGACCGTCCGTTTTTCCATTAAAGGGAACAAAGTCATGGAGGAGACTAGGAATTGCCAACATTTTCAGTGAAGGTCAGCAAATTTTGTAGTTCTACTGTTTCATTGAACTTGCTGCCACATAGCCCGTCCCTCCAGAACCCTATAAAAATCAAGGGGGGCTTTGTGGCACCAAGCAACTCCTTTCACCATTGCATGGTTTCTCTGAGCTCATTCAAACATCCCATTCCATTTCCCTCTCCATTCAACCACCGATCAATCCTTCGTAGAGTTTCCATTAATCGACATCATCAATGGCTGCTTCTTGTCATTTCACCGAGCTCACAGTTCCTCGAATAGCCCTAAATCGCAGAAGAATGTTGGATTGTTCCTTAGCTCTAGGCCCGAGACATGCTGTCGATTTCGGTTCCCGATTTCGTCGTACGATTTCGGAAAAACCTAACGGAACCGGGAAGTTGTCTGCCGGAGTTCACAAGGATCTTATTGGCCCTCTATTCGCCGGCCGCCGGAATGCCATTAGTAATCAGTTCAGCGACAGTCTCTACGAAGAAGAAGAAGAAGATAGTTCCCGCGAGAGGAACAGCGCCACCGCGTAAGAATTTAAATTCTTAATTTTTAATTTAAATATTTTTTAAATTTCTTTTAATTTTTTTTATCCAGGTTTACATCAACATTTATAACTTTAAACAATAAAAAAATATCTTTGAACTTCCGAAAATACCCTTTTCTTTTTCTTCTTTTTCTTTTTCTTTTTTTGGTATAACTTTAAGGCTAAACTATGATTAAATCAAAAGACTATTTTACCCGAAAACGGTAAGCAATTTATTTTGACCATGGATTTGATATTTTTATATTATTTTTAAAAATACTTTTAAATTTTAAAAAATTAACAAATACTACTTATTTAAAAATAGCATTCCTTAACATCAGCGCAAACACAGAAACTAATCTATTTACATCTTATAAATTTAAAAAAATTCATGATTATTTTTTAAATGTGATACTAACAATTTCATTCCCATGTTAACGATAAAGGTATTTTTTGTTTTTGATGTTCTTAAGAAGTTTTAAAAAGTGTTTTTGAAGTTTTCAAAAAAAAAAAAGAAAAGAAAAGGGTATTTTCGGAAGTTCAAAGATATTTTTTAATTTTTTAACCATTTTGAAAGTTAAACATATATTTTTGAAAGTTTTTTTTGTCCCACAGTGTATTATTAAAACTTTTAAAATGTTAAAAATATTTTAGTAGAAGTATTTTTATTAATTTAATAAAAATATTTAAATAAATATGGAACAAGAATTAAAAAAAAAAAAAAAAAAAAAAAAAAAAAAAAAAA